TGGGGAGTGACTGGACCGCTCCGAGCAAGGCCAGCAAGCTGCGTGACGTCAGGAAACAACTGTCAATCATTTCTCATTTCATCCAATCAGCGGCCAACACTCTGGGCACACCTGCCTCAACCGTGTTTTGAACCTAATATACATACCGGTACATACAGGTACCTTTGGCCGTGTTTATGTGAAGTCACCCAAACAGCGATTCGGGTAACTCGCACATCTGGTCCACGTGCCATACATTCCTTGCAAACCGAGTCCGATCACGATTGTTCGAAACTGCATTCATTGATGTTTGATGAAAACACGCACGGTGGCGTGTTATCAATGTCAGAGATCAACGACCTGCTTGCTGATGCCCCCCTCCCAGCGTATCTCGGCCGAATGCCAAAGTAGTCCCGCTAGAAGCAGTGAAGCTCGTCCTAGAACGGACACATTGTTTGACCATTACTGCTCTTTAACCCTACCTAGACCGGGCTTTTTTTTTTTTTATTAAAACATATATAAAGAAATACAGACACGATGACGGCGTACTCAAGTTTGGTTAACTTATATTAACGCCGCCATCAAACAATAAACTTAATACAAAGATAAAACAATGCATACCCTAACGAACAGATATAATATACGCAAAACAATAATAAGACAGATGGGGTTTAGATAAAGAATGAAACTCAGAAGACTAAAAGCGCAGGTCCTTCCCCCCTCCCACCCTTGCTAATGTTGTGATTGGTAGGACACACCAAAGAAATATTGATAATGATAAATTAGGTTGAAGCAAAGCGTCTACTTGAAATAGTGAAATCTTGAGTTAGAACCATTATTTGACAATTAATTTTGAACGTGAATAAAGGGGATCCGTAAAGTAGAAGTTGTTCGAGAGCATTGTCGGAGAGTGAGTTTGTGTCAAGGAGGTGTCCTACCAATGATTCAAGTTGGCCGAAGAGACACTGTCGTTGAAAACTGTATGAAGGGCAATGAAGTAAGAAATGAGATATGGTTTCGCATTGGCACCCGCAGCTGCAAGCCGGGCTGTGAACTAACGTACGACTGAAAAGGCTGGCGTTCAAGCTGCAGGTGCCAATGCGAAAGCGTGCTAAAAGGGCAGAGACATATCGGGGACCATAACTAAAATGTTTGACTTTGGTGGGGCATACAGATTTAAGTAAGTGCATTCGAAACAAAGAATAACTAAGACTCCTTGTTGCCACGTCTAACTTGTTCCAATAACTTAAAGCGTAAGGAACAAAAGACTTAGCAAAGCGGTTTGATGAAGTGGTCAATGGTCTTAGATTCAATTTGTTTCGAAGGTTGTACGAACATGTCGATACAATATTGGAGGGGATTAGGTCATACAAATAACTACGAGAAGTACCGTGGATAATCTTGTAGAACAGCAACAGACGATGGATGTGTCTCCTGTCTGATAATAAGATTATCCACAATGTCATTGATATACACCAAAAAGAATAAGGGGCCCAGAACTGACCCCTGTGGAACACCTGCAGTAACATTACACCAAGGAGAAGATATACCATCAATTGTTACTCTTTGAGATCTGTCACGAAGATAAGAATAGATCCAGTTTAAGAGAGGTCCTTCAATACCAAGTCTTTGTAGCTTGAATAATAAGCCTTTATGTCACACCCTATCGAAGGCCCGAGAAAAATCGAGAAACACTGCACGAACTTCTTTTCCGGTGTCTAGGGCTTTCAAGATAATGTGACAAAAGTACGCTAGTTGACAAACTGTAGAATCGCCTCTAATGAAACCGGATTGAAGCCGATACAAAAGGTTGTGTTGTATTAGGTAATTATACAGGTGTTTATAAACTATTTTTTCTAGGACCTTCGACAGGGTGGTTAGTAAGGACACAGGGCGGTAATTTCTTTTATCACTAGGATCGCCCTTTTTAAAAATGGGTATTACATTTGCATATGGCTTTTTTTGACATGGGGGGACCGGGGGGG